CAATCAGCTAACTAAAGAAAAACGAGTGGCCATCATTACTTTAAGAAATGAAGGTCAGTCAGTCCGGAAAATTGCAAAAACTTTAAATGTGTCCCCAAGTGGAGTCGCAAAAACCATCAAGCGCTACAACGAAACTGGCACACATGAGGACCGACCCAGGAAAGGAAGACCAAGAGTCACCTCTGCTTCTGAGGATAAGTTCATCCGAGTCACCAGCCTCAGAAATCGCAAGTTAACAGCAGCTCAGATCAGAGACCAGATGAATGCCACACAGAGTTCTAGCAGCAGACCCATCTCTAGAACAACTGTTAAGAGGAGACTGCGCTAATCAGGCCTTCATGGTCAAATAGCTGCTAGGAAACCACTGCTAAGGAGAGGCAACAAGCAGAAGAGATTTGTTTGGGCCAAGAAACACAAGGAATGGACATTAGACCAGTGGAAATCTGTGCTTTGGTCTGATGAGTCCAAATTTGAGATCTTTGGTTCCAAGCGCCGTGTCTTTGTGAGACGCAGAAAAGGTGAACGGATGGATTCCACATGCCTGGTTCCCACTGTGAAGCATGGAGGAGGAGGTGTGATGGTGTGGGGGTGTTTTGCTGGTGACACTGTTGGGGATTTATTCAAAATTGAAGGCACACTGAACCAGCATGGCTACCACAGCATCCTGCAGCGACATGCCATCCCATCCGGTTTGCGTTTAGTTGGACGATCATTTATTTTTCAACAGGACAATGACCCCAAACACACCTCCAGGCTGTGTAAGGGCTATTTGACCAAGAAGGAGAGTGATGGAGTGCTGCGGCAGATGACCTGGCCTCCACAGTCACCGGACCTGAACCCAATCGAGATGGTTTGGGGTGAGCTGGACCGCAGAGTGAAGGCAAAGGGGCCAACAAGTGCTAAACACCTCTGGGAACTCCTTCAAGACTGTTGGAAAACCATTTCAGGTGACTACCTCTTGAAGCTCATGGAGAGAATGCCAAGAGTGTGCAAAGCAGTAATCAGAGCAAAGGGTGGCTATTTTGAAGAAACTAGAATATAAAACATGTTTTCAGTTATTTCACCTTTTTTTGTTAAGTACATAACTCCACATGTGTTCATTCATAGTTTTGATGCCTTCAGTGAGAATCTACAATGTAAATAGTCATGAAAATAAAGAAAACGCATTGAATGAGAAGGTGTGTCCAAACTTACTGTACTGTATCATCAGGAGGGAAAGCGCCACAAAGAGTGCATCACAAGGAGTGAAGTTGCGTCTTCTTTTCCTCGCAGATGACAGTTCAGGTTCATTCTCTCCTGTTGCGTGGTAAGTGTGGTCCATTCGCAAACTTTATAACTAAAAAAACTTTTCACTACTCTCTGTCGACGAACTACTAACACTCTCTGCTGTTTCCTTCTCCTTCTTCCTTCCTTCTGCTGTCTTCGTTGGTTCATTTATACACGCGAAACGCATTCTCTAGCTGGCTGGATTGTCCGCTCGGGCTGCCGTACATACATGGCGGCGCAAGATGGCGACCTCTCTAAAGCAAGGCCCTTGCTATATATATATAAAAGCATAATTATAAGGCTACAAAAACCAAACGAATTTTATTTTATAGCGATTATACACTTATATAAACATATTAATGGGTAGAATATTCAGATTCAGATTCAGATTTGACAATAAACCATGCCAAATATTACACACTGGCCCTTTAAAGAGAGGCAGAGCCTTCGGCTGCTGTTAAACATGATGCCAACATGTCATCCATCCATCAATTTTCATCCGGTTATCCCAAGCCCTGTCGCAGGGGCAGTAGGCTGAGCAAAGTACTCCAGACGTCCCTCTCCCCAGCAACACTTTCCAGCTCCTCCTGAGGGACCCCAAGGTGTTCCCAGGCCAGGTGAGATATGTAATCCCTCCAGTGTGTTCTGGGTCTGCCCCAGGGCCTCCTACCAGTGGGACACCTCTAACAGGAGGCGCTAAGGAGGATCCAGATCAGATACCTGAACCACCTCAACTGACTCCTTTCAACATGAAGGAGCAGCGGCTCTACTCCGAGCTCCCTCTGGATGTCCTAACTCCATCCCCCATCTCTAAGGATGAGCCCTGCCACCCACAGAGGAAACTCATTTCGGCCACTTGTATCCACAATCTCCTTCTTGGTCACTACCCAGAGCTCATGACTATAGGTGAGGGTTGGGATGTAGATGGACCAGTACATCAAAAGCTTCACCTTCCGGCACGGCTCCCTCTTCACCACAATGGTCTGGCACAGCGCCTGCATCACTGCAGACGTCATGCCAAACCACCGATCTATCTTGGGTCTGATTGACTGTATACATGCAAGAGGAATTCAACTCCCAATCACATATCTGGGTGTGTTCGTCCGACTTTGAGAAATTCAGTTTAGTCTGATTTCAGTCGAACTAACACAATAAATCAATGTTCTCCAATGTCATGTAAAGATAGTGACAGTAATTACTGTTATTTATCAAAATGTCTCTGTTGTTCTTTACCACTTTATAAACTCAGTCCTTTGATGTTTATACTATAAAATACTGACTGGTTTTATTATTGATGATTTTCTGTAAAGTTTGGTTGAAACTGAACTCCAGTCTGACAAATGAACGTGTCTCCTCTGACAGGAAGTCTCGTTATTTATTCACAGAATTAAACTTTTCTGACCCTCAGGCAGGAAACACTTTTAGATTTGATACTTTATTTTATTTCACATGATTTTACTCAGTTTTTCTTTATTTTAATGTGAAAACTAAAAATAAATATTGGCTCATTTCTCCAGTTCAGACGCCTGCATTCATGTTGTGACTGTTCACAGTGATTTCCTGTAAAACGTCCTGAGATCAGACAGAAGAGAGGAGTCCCCACAATGTGACCAACACACACACAGTGGATTCCCCGGTCGATGCCCTTCTTGGGTCGGCTTCAGCTGCGTGTGTGTGTGTGTGTATGTGTGTGTCCAGTGCAGCAGCATGTTTTGTCTTTATATGGTTTCAGCTCTCATATTTGTTTAACGTTCGTGCGACACCAGAGAGAGCCGGCCTCTTTCTCTCACTGCTCTTTTCAGATCAGCTCGTTCTTCTTCTGCAAAGTTAACTCTTTTTGTACGTCTAACTTTATTAACACTGTGTCCCCTCAGGGTGGATCTGATCTTTGAACAGTTAAAAACAGAAATGAATCAAACAAATGACACATCTGTAAATATTACACTTAATGTTCAGACGGAGCAACTTCAGATCTCAAACTGTGTGTCGTTCACAACCTTTACACTCAGTGTGTGTTTGTAATGACCGGCAGCTCACAGACAGGCGACATGAAGGTATTAAAGTGAACTATTTTTCTGTAATTAACAATGTATTAATATGTAAATAAGTATTTATTAATATGTGGGTATGTGGGTGTATAAATTGATAGAATAATGTATATTCATATTTTGTATAAGTCATATGTTCACTTATTTAAATATAAAAAGATAGCAGGACAAGTTGATGATGATATTTATGTAAAATCTACATTAATATTTATTTTTTTTGTAAGGTAAAGGCAGTTGGTAGTATATATATCATACATTTGGACTGGTTTATACTTGTAAGTCATAATATTTGGTCATTTATATCATATACCATCATAGGTTTTTGTAAGACAGACATTTGGTACTTCCCATCATTTACATATACATGAGTTATTTTTGTGAGGCAAAGTTAAAAAGTTATGATAAAGGTTTATCTATATAAGGAAGCTGTCTGTTTAATTTCACTCGATGGAGGAGGGGTGGGGTTTAATAAGTTTATACTTCCTCCCACTCCTTTTTGAATGTGTAAATCAAACTAATTATACTCTGACAACTGCTTTTCATTATTTGTGGATATTACTTTCTTTCCATCTGTCTTCTTGTGTGTATGTGCATGTCTTTTCTTTTTTACACAGGGCTCAACGATAAGGTTTTTTTTCACTTGCCCGGTCGGGCAAGTTGGTCAGAGATCTACTTGCCCGGAGTCAGTTTTTACTTGCCCTATAAAAATTGTTTAATTTAAGCGGCTATCAAATAACAAAGACTGCAGTTATTTTTATGTTATGTAATCTTTATTTACACTGTATTTATTAATTAAAACAACATATGTCATGTATTGTAGCTTAATTCCTACACAAAAATGACAGTGTCAGGGCTTAAAGTGAAAAATTTGTCAATCGTTCTCCGTCTATAATTTTGCTCCCTACTTGAGCCATGCCCACCTCTATTTATTTTTCACCCCTCTCTCCAGTTCTGCTGTATTAACACCGGGTTTAATATATTTTGCTTCCATCTCTCTGTCCTGGTCTACTCTACTTCAACGCTACTTAGCTCTCTCTCTACTTTACCAGTAGACTACCTTATCCACCTGTTGCACAAAATGCACACAGCAGTGTTTCCCCTAGGATGTAGTTGTAGCAGCGGAGGTGAAGCACACGCATGAAAAATAATTTTCACATGCGTGAAACTTTTTGCTATGACCTATTTAAGTGCTGGAAGTTGTTATTTACGTGACAACGCCTGAACGCAACACAAGCTCAGCATGAGTGCTGCGCTGAGCTGCTGTGCGAGCAGCGTGTTTGTCAGTGCGTAACAGCAGTCCGTGGATGGTTATTTAGGCTACACACTGTCCATTTCAATAACTTTGTCAGCTGACAAACTGCACCAGGCTTGGGGTCAGGTTTGGTCAGGAAAATGCGGCCCGAGCCTCTCTAGCGTGCTCACCTGTGTGTGTGGCGGAACTCCGCCGTGCGTGATACAGAGAGCAGAGGAGAATTGTTAATGCGTGACCATGTAGAGACAGAAATGACACGATGGCATAACACCATAAATAGTATATTGTTATGTTATTATATGAAGTGTCCGTCGCGCAAAATAATATCAATGGGGGCTGTGGGCAGGACATTGTTACGTGTGCCTGTGACTTCAGGCAGAGAGACCGCTGCATCAGAGCACGTTTTAAAATACATTTATTTTATCAATTAGTTATTAACTTTTACTATTTTTAGCAACTTGCCCGATCGGGCAAGTGAGTTGTTAGTTTACATGCCCGACCTTGAGTTTTACTTGCCCCGGGCAATCGGGCAATCCTTATTGTTGAGCCCTGTTACATGTTTGAAACGCTGTGTGGAGTTTGCATGTTCTCGTCGTGTCAGCTTCTTTTACTTCTTTTAACCCTTTGAACTCGTCCACTAGTGCCTACATTGATATTTTTTTTTATTGTGATGTAATTTCCTGGAGTATCTTCATATGTGCACAACCTGAGCTACAAGGTTCTGTAAATGCATCCTAATAATTGACAAACGCACTGAAATTGTGTCATCAAAAAACAAAATTTGTCACCTTTTATAAAATAAAATCACAAAACGTTTTGATTCAAAAGATTTTTAAGATATGAAACACCAACACAATATTTCCTGATACTCCATAAGTTATTTGAATTGCATCAATTATTTAGTTTTTGAGATATGCTCACTTTATCAGTAGAATGGAAAGGTATTTTGATTTTTGATTTTTTAGATTAATCACTGATGTCTCTGGCACCACATTTCATACCACGTGTAATATACCACAGTGACATCATCATGAGACTTTGCTTTCTGCTGCAAACACGACAAATGTTGTTGCCATTATGGTTATGAGGTGGTAAACCATCAGGTGTTACCAGGAGAACTGAGCCGTGGCTTGTGACTTTACTTGACTTTAGATTTTGACTGCAAAAAGCATAAAATATGAATGAATCTTCTGACTTTTTATTTCTCGGGTATTTGACCATGTTTCCACAGCTGAACATATTAACGTCCTGTCTGCAGATCAGTAAGTCTGATCACATGTCAAACTCTGACTCTGTGTCCTCAGTGTCTCACAGTAATGAGACAGTGTGCTGCCTCCTGCTGGACGTTTAACTACAACACACTGAGTCTCATCACATGATCACCTAAATACATTACATACATTCTCATGTTTTTATGTCAATAATAAACTAATGTCAGTTATATCAGTGAGGAGACAGATCTGAGAGGGGACAGACAGACAGACAGACAGACAGAGACAGGTCTTACTGAGGACACGGAGTGTCCATTCTGCAGAGTGGACAGTGAGTCCTCCAGCAGTGATCAGCTGACACCTGTACGTCCCCTCATCCTCCTGTCTCACTCTGTCCATGGTGAGACTGAGACGTGTCCCATCCTGTCTCTGCCGCAGACCCGTCCTCACTGGACCCCCGTCCTTCAGCCATGTCACCACGGCAAAGGCCACAGAGGAGACTGATAGAAGGTGAGAGGTGAGGACAACACAGTTTAGTCTACAGGCTACACCTGGAGGCTGGAAACTGTCACTACACCTCCTCATGTTGATGACATCACCCTTAGGTCACTGCACCTCCTCATGGTGATGACATCACCCTCCGGTCAGACTCACTCATATAACTATCTGCCATATAACTGTCAACTTTACACTTCATCTCTACACATTATGATGATCATTTTTAATTAGACTCAGAGGTTTTAATGACCTTGGCAGGTGAATGTGACCTGTGCTCCTTCTGTGGCCTCCTGGTCCAGAGGAACGGCCTCGAACCGCAGGTTGGACCCCGTCACCGACCTCCTCACAACCCTGACACACACAGATAACACTCAACAGTTAATTCAAGCTTAGGCTCATACATAATTATATTAATAAATATACACAATTTTACTTTTGAAGTTAAGGAGAATGAAAATTGTATAAACAAAATGGCAGGCTGCCAGGGATGATAGCTGCTCCAATATCACAAAAAATAGGGACTGTCGTACTAACATTGGCTGGAAGGCTACTACTTTTAGCTTCATCGTATACAAACTATTTTGATGAATCAGAGCTGTTTAGAATCAGACCATCACTGCTAATTAACATCTGTTAGGTAGCAACATAAGATAGTGTTAACGTAACATTAATTAACATTAGCTAGTGTACCATTAGCTAGCAAATGGTACATTAATATTACACATTAGCTTACACTCAGCCAAACTAATATTAGCTAATATTAGCTAATGTTACATGTTAGCTAACGTGTATCATTAGTCAATGTAACGCTAGGTAACGTAACTTCTTCTAATATAGCGCCAGCTAATGTTACATTAACGTTACACATTAGCTAACATGTAACATTAGCCAAAGTAATATTAGCTAATGTAACATTAGATAATGTTAACGTTACATGTTAGCTTAAGTAGGGCATAATCCCTCTATAGGACTCTGGACTTTTCTCTCTTTTTCTCATGTCTGTGCTTTTCCTTTGCGTGTCTTATTATTTTTTGTAAACTGCTGCCATTTTGGCCAGGCCTTGCTCATAAAAGAGATCACTTGATCTCAAGCAATCTGCCTGGTAAAATAAAGGTTAAATAAAATTTTTAAAAAAATGTTACATTAATGTAACATTAGCTATTATAGCATTAGCTGATGGCATGTTAGCTAATGTTACGTTAATGTTACACATTAGCTAACAAGTAACATTAGCCAAAGTAATATTAGCTAATGTAACATTAAATAATGTTACATGTTAGCTAAAGTGGTACAATAGTTAATGTAACATTAGCTAATATAGCATTAGCTGATGACATGTTAGCTAATGTTACATTGACGTTACACGTTAGCTAACATCTAACATCAAGTATTATTGGCTAATGTGACATGGTAGCTAACGTTAGCTAATGTTACACATAAGCGAACATGTAACATCAGCCAAAGTAATATTAGTTACATGTTGGCTAACATATAACATAAGTTAATGTAATGTTAGCTAACGTACCAGTAGCTGTTGCATTAGCTAATGTTAGCTTTGTGTTGTAACAGGTTCAACTGTACCTGCTGCTGACTGAGCTGCTCTCTGCCTGCTGGACTGAACTGGTCTGACCTGGATCAGGACTAAAGACTGACTGGACCTGCAGACACAGACAGACAGATGAACATGATGAAACAGAATTCAGAGCATCTCTATCTTCACTTATGTCATTGCTATTATTAAAATAATAATAATAGTTGTAATATTGTGACTGTGACCTGGGCAGCTGCAGTTCTCCTCTCAGCCACAAGAGGGAGCTGTACAGGAGGTTTGCTCCTCCAGGAGGAGGCTGTTTGAGACAGGGGGCTCTGCTGCTCCCTCTCCCTGGGCCTGGGCTGCTCTGCCTGGGTGCTGGGAGCACTGGGACCACTGGGAGCAGCTGTCAGGTTACTGCTGCTGGTGTGTGTGGACTCAGCTGAGGTGACGATGCTGCAGGAGGAGACTTCAGTGTCAACAAACTCCTGCTCACTTTAATGTAGATAATAAACGTTGTATTTACATGTTGCAGGAGAGTTTCTGAACTGTTGCTGTGTGATTATTTCCAGTAAGTTTAAGTGTGTTTTTGAATCCACATTTCTGTTGGATGAAGCAGTGACTGGATCTGTGTCACTTTGTTTGACAGCTCCAGGTTTGTTGAAGTATTTCTTAGTAAGTAAAAGATCAACACTCACAGTGAGCTGGTGATTTATGACCTCAATATACCATCATGTGTTCACTACTTGTTTCCACTGAAAACACAGCTTATACAGATTTAAAGACTCCTTCAATAAAATATTATAAAACATAACACGCGGTTCAGTCTGAATGTCTGGAGAGAGTTTTGTGCTTTACGTAAGATGAATTCAGGGCTCTTCACACCGTCCTGGTTTGGTCCAGACGTTCAGACTTCTCAGTCTGATCTGAACCAACAGAACAGGTGTGAAACCTCACCTTATACCGAGTAAAGAGGTGGTGTCGGTCCAGCTCAAACTGAATCACGGTTCTCTTCGGTTCTAGTGTAAAAACATTTTGTCGGATAGTTTGAACTTTACGACCAGTGACAGGAAGTTCTGGCAATTTGTTGTCGTGTCGTCAGAATTCAGTGGATGCAGATTCTGTGTGGGGCTGGCGATCACAGGATGTGGTTAATGATGACAGGGTAGAGGTGATTACAAAGAGATGTAGGCAATGACGACTGTATGTAAGGAAGGGAATTAAGTACTTATGCTGGGATGTAGGTAATGACGATGGGATGTTAATAATGACGACTATATGTAGGTAATTATGACGGGATGTAGGTGATGATGCCAGGATGTAGGTAATGACATCAGGATTAAGGCTATGATGACGGGATGCAGCTAATGACAACAGGATGTAGGTAATTAGGCTAGGATGTAGGTGATGATGATGGGATGTAAGCAATTACATCTGGATGTAGGTAAAGGCAATGGGATGAAGGTAATGATGACAAGATGTAGAAGATGATGATGAAATATAGGTAATGACGACAGGATGTAGAAGATGATGACAGGATGTAGGTAATGATAACAGGATGTAGGTAATGACGACAGGATGTAGGTAATGACGATGGGAAGTAGGAGATGAAGATGGAATGTAGGTTATAACAACGGGATGTAGGTAATTACATCTGGATGGAGGTGATGATGGGATGTAAGCTAAGACAATAGGATGTAGGTATTTACAACAGGTTGTAGGTAATTATGCCAGGATGCAGGTGATGATGATGGGATGTAGGCAATTACATCTGGATGGAGGTAAAGACAGGATGAAGGAGAGGAAGATGGGATGTAGGGTTTGACAATGGGTGCAGGCAGTAATGACAGGATGCAGGTAATGAAGATGGGATGTAGGTAATTACAATGGGATGTAGGTAATGATGACGGGATCCAGGTAAAGACGATGGGATGTAGGTAGTGAAGACAGGATGTAGGTAAAAACAGTGAGATATAGGTAAGATGACAGAATGTAGGTAATGACTATGGGATGTAGGAGATGATGACGGGATGCAGCTTATGACAACAGGATGTAGGTAATTATGCTAGGATGCAGGTGATGATCATGGGATGTAAGCAATTACATCTGGATGTAGGTAAAGGCAATGGGATGGAGGTAATGATGACAAGATGTAGAAGATGATGATGAAATATAGGTAATGACGACAGGATGTAGGTAATGACGATGGGATGTAGATTATAACAACAGGATGTAGGTAATTATGCCAGGATGCAGGCGATGATGGGATGTAGGCAATTACATCTGGATGGAGGTAAAGACAATGGGATGTAGGTAATGATGACAGGACGTAGGAGAGGAAGATGGGATGTAGGGTTTGACAATGGGTGCAGGCAATAATGACAGGATGTAGGTAAAAACAGTGGGATATAGGTACGATGATGGAATGTAGGTAATGACTATGGGATGTAGGAGATGATTACTGGATGTAGGTGATGACGACAGGATGTAGGTAATGACGACAGGATCTAGTTGATGACGAAGGGACGTCGATGATGAGAATGAGACTCAGGTGATGAGGACATCTTAAAAGAAAGCTGTGATGTAGGTGAGTGTGCGGACTCACCTGGACGAGTCTTGAGGAACACCTGAGAGGAGAAACAGAAACAATCATGTTGTTTTCAGCTTTCAGAGGACGTGATGTCAGAAACAAACATCTTGGACTCTGAGTGGTCAGCTCACCCTGGACGTGGAGCGTAGTGGAGGCCGTTGCTGTCCCGGCGCTGTTGATCACCAAACACGTGTAACTTCCTGCATCCTCCACACACACTTCCTTTATCTCCAGGAAGTGCAGCCCAGAGCGCTCGTACATACTGATCCGCACAGAAGACTGAAGCTCCACCTCCCCCTGAACAGGTGGAGACAGTGGCCAATAACAAGATGGCAGCTAAACTGTTAGCACTTTTTACCTGAGGCCTGAGTTAAGCTCCACCCACCTTGTGCCATGTGACCTGGGGTTGTGGGCGTCCTGTTGTTTTGGCGCTGAACTTCCCGGTCTGTCCTGGCTTGGCGAATACTCGGCTCGGTTTAGTGACAAACTTGGGCGGACTCTCCCCCCAGATACTGGGCCTGTTCCCCACCGACGGGACGGCAGAGCGACACCTGGGGAATCATGGGAAATGGAGTTCTGTCAGCATCAAGTACTTCTTTACGTGTCACTGTGGAGGGTTTCTTCTTCAGTGATGACTGTCTGTTGATTCATTAGTAGGCGGGGCTTCCTGTTGTGATCATCCAATGAGACATCAGCCAAATATGTTTCATAAACATGTCTGATAATTATTAGAGCTCATGAATGTAACACTCTGATTGACAAACTGATTGATTGAAACCTTTATTTCAGAAGGGGAAACTTACAATGAAGACTCTGTTTACAGGAGTGCGGTGAACGCACCACCAGGCACGAGCCACAGATGACTGCACCACTTTAACTCCATTAAAACCAGTGTGTGTTTCATAATGATGCATCGAGTCTCTGCCAGTTGATTCTGATTTATTGTATAAACACAAACATGTAAAAATGACAGCATGAATAGTTTTATGGCCGTCAGTAAAAACTGCAACATAAAAAAAGCACATTAGATTTACTGATCGGTCCTTTAAACGGCTGATTTCTCTTCCATATTCTGAACCAGGACGTCCTCCAACATGCTGAGGAAGAGTTACGACACTAACACTGATCCAGAGACACAGAAGAAGAGCTCACCCTGTTTTCATGGCGGACGGGAGGCCGTATTTCTTCCCAGAATTCTCTGCAGGTGGAAAAACATGAACACATGAGAGAAACAGTTTGGTTTCTTAAAGGAGTTTTATTTTAGTCCATCTTCATTAAAACAAGATCAGAGCTGCAACTATTTCAACAGGAGGTGACTTTATCTGCACCTGTCACAAATCAAAGTGACACCAAACAGGAAAGACGAGATGAAGGAGAAACACAATGAGCTAAAATTAAACAGGAGACTAAAAAAGTTAATGGTGTCTGAGTTTTATGATTTTAACACAAAAATTAATTTAAAAATGAAACTAACATCTAAATTATTTGACGTCTTGTCTCTTTTTGTAGATGAGTCATTAAGTTATGAATTAATTAGAGCTCTGGTTGGTGCCTAAAACATTCAGGATGATGATGATGATGATGTTTGAACACAGGAAGTTAACCCTAAATTAACCCCCGCCGGTCACATGGTGTGATCCAGATCAGTAAACGCGTCTCTACTGAAGCTGAGTTCAGTTTTACTGAGTGTGAGTCTGGTTGTGTTTAAAAAACAGGAAGCTGCCGGCGAGCTGTTTACGACGCAATTAAACCTCTCTCTCACACACACACACACACACACAGTAGGTTTTATATGGGTGAGGTCATGTTTGGAAACTTTGATGATCTCCTGTTTGAATCAAAGTGAACTGAGAACAGCTGACTGAAGTCTTCATGAATATCTGAGAGTTAAATATCGTTTTGAATCTTAAAGATGGACGTCAGAGACATTTTACTGTAAAATTAAACATGTCAGCGCCCTCTGCTGGTCGCACTCTGTACTGACATGTTAGCAGCTGCTTATAAAACACTGACAGGGTGTGAATGTGTGGTGCAGCAGTATCAGTAGAAGTTGTGTTGCAGGTGTTCGAACCTTCCAGGAGGATCTCCACAGTCACCTGACGGCTCCCCGCCTGATTGGTTGCCTGGCAGGTGTAACGGCCCACATCTTCCTTTCTGACTCCGCCCACGACCAGGCTGAAGGTGCCCCGCCCACCTTGCTGCACAACGCAGCGCTCTCCACCAATCACAGGGCTCCCCTCTCTGTGCCATGTGACCTGAGGCTCAGGATGACCTCGCACCTGAAACACACACACACACACACACAGAACTGACGACAACACAAACAACCTGACTGTAAACAAATCAAACGTCCCCAACAGGCTGCAGAGATCATTACACACACACACACACACACACACTGATAATAAACTAATGATTTATCTCCTCTGAAAGTCAGCTGACGTCCTGTATAACACACACACAGCAGGTGTGTGTGTGTGTGTGTGTGTGTGGTTGACTGCTTCACATCAGGATGAAGTCGATCACAAGACTGAAGACGTTAATCCCTCTGATCTCACATCTGCCTCACTTCTTTCCTTCCTTGTTTCCTTATTTCCTCTCATTTCCTCTTGTTCTCTAATTTGTTTCCTTTATCGTTTCCTTTATTGTTTCCTTCCTTGTTTCCTCTCAATTCTTCTGTTTTTTTTGTTGTATTCCCCTTCCTCTTGTTCCCTTCCCCCCCTTGTTTCCTTCCGTTTCCTCCTCTTCTCTCATTCTCTCCCTTGTTTCCTCTGTTGTATTCCCCCTCTCCTCTTGTTCCCTCCTCTTCCCCCTCATTTCCTCTCTTGTTCCCTCTCCTGTTTCCTCCCCTCTCTCCCTCACAGTTTGAAAACCTCAGTCTTTCTCTATAAAGACATTTGATGTAGTTTTTTTCTATAACTGATAATGACATCATCCTTTATTCTTTCAAGTGATTGGATGAATCTGTTGTGATGTCACTGACCCTGTCTTCCCACTCGTTTATTAAACTTCCTGTTTCCTGAGACAAACAAACATCGTCCCACCTTCCCCTCCAGTCGGGCGTCTCCTCCCAGGACCACCCGGGCGTTGCGAGGAGGAAGGACGAAGGCCGGAGGCTCGATGCTGCAGGAACTGCATCCTGGTGGCGGGCCTGTTACCTTGGAGACGGCGGAGGAAACTGAACCCAAGCGGACGTCACTCATCCTGAAGTCAGAGACAGAAAATACAAAATCATCTGAGGGATAAGACATCACACTGTGTGTGGTGTGTGTGTGTGTGTGTGTGTGTGTGTGTGTTGAGGGATGAACAGATCAAACACATGAAGATAAAAACATCATGTGTGTGTGATCAGCAGTGAACATGTGACTCACTCCACATGTCTGACCTTATAAGGAGAAACTTCCTGTCAGACCGACTTTACTTCTTCTTCATGACAAATAGATTTACTGTCGTCTGTTCTCAGTTTCTGTTGTTGATCAGCTTCGTTCTTCATCCTCCAGATTTTTGTCTCAGTTTGAGAGTTTGTCTGCGATGACTCTTTCCCTTCTCATCAGACTTTCATCCATCTGAGCTCCTCTTCTTCTTCACTTCTTCTTTTTCTTCACTTCTTTGTCAGCTTGAACCAGGTGCTTTAAAAGTCTGACACTATGGTGACAGTGACAGGTGTGTGCAGGTGTTCTAACAACAACAGGAAGTTTGTCAGCAGGTGGAGCTCATTAAGATACTTTAAACCCTTCCTCCTCCTCTTCATCACTCAGTGAATTGCGAACACACAGACATGAAACACATGTTGAAATCATTCATTGTGACTTCTCATCATCTCTGATTATCCAGAATAAACGTCCATGAATCAAAGAATCATCTTGTTTTCTTCGGTATCACAGTAACCAGTGATACATCCGGGGAAACTAATATGGACTATAACTAGAATCACCGCCTCACGGTTGTTTGTCTCCGCACACCAGTCAAGTTCCAGCCATGTCTGTGAAAACATAACGCTTCACACACAGAACATCAATACAATCAGCACAGTTTCAAGTGGTGCTGGATGAAGTACCTGAACACCACACTTGTGTAAAAATACAGATTTCTTACCAGAAAATGACTCTGGTAGAAATTACAGTCACCTATTAAAATATTACATGAGCAACAGTCTTAAAGTATCTCATATTTACTGTTATTACGTATCAAAAGCATTTTATTATATTAACATACGAGGAGAGTCTGAGGCACAGACAGCAAACCTCCCTGCCCTTCCATGCGCCTACATGGAAAGCCTAACGGCTGACACCTCTGTGGAGGCATAAAAAAAGTTCTATCTAATTTACAGCTTATAGCTAATTCACTGACACCATGGAAACATCATACGTCTTGATAGCGTTCCTAAAGCATCATGGAACCTGTAGTTCCAAAACTTGTATGACAATCCTACAAGTGGAAGTGATGTTGAGTGTTAATAATAATAATGATAATAACAAGTAGGGCTGTCAAAGGATTCATTTTTTTAATCACGATTAACTGCACTTTCACAGCAGCTTTGAAGTTCATATTAACGAGGTTACATAATTCTTACCAGTGTTTTGATTAGAACTCAAATGAAGGCAAAGAAATTTACTTTATCATCTTGATTTTTAGATTTATTTCTTTAAGATCAGCGACAGTGCTGTCGAAGAGACGAAATAGCAGCACGTAATTAACCCTCTGAGACCCACATACTGTAGACCCATTTTTGGTCTGGATCTTTGGGGGGAGACAGCAGGTCAACAGTAAATGCCACATAGAAGTGGTATTTATCACCCACTCTGCCTCTGAACCACAGCCTGTCAAATTTGGATCTGCTGTATGAACTAGAAACAAAAATCAAGACTGGCATCTGTTCACTTGTGCGATTAATTGAAAAGTTTTCAATTGACCCACCCACAGCTCCTGGCCACTGAGCATGCACAGTGCCATAGATGTAGATTTCAGGAGGGACACAAGGGACACGTCCCCCTCAATATTAAGAACATCTGTCCCTCCAGTGAAAACATGAAGGTAACTCAGGACTTTTGTTTTCACCAAACTAAAGACATTGAAACCATAAAATGATGCAGAAAATTCACAAACTGGTTCACAAACATTCACCAGACTTCAGGAAACTAAGTGTTTGATGCTCTAAATTTTCTGAGGACCCACAGACCTCCTGATCCATGCCCCCCCCCCAGCTCTGTTGCTCAGTGCGTCAGGTATTTCAGCCTCTCAGACTGTGTGAGTTGACGCTGCATTGGTTGGAGGACCTGATGGTGTTATCAGACTGTTTTCAGACCAAACAGAACCAGCATGTTGGTTTCCTGCTGTCACAGTTAAAATATGCTGCTAACACACAGCTGCCTTACATGGCTCTACAGCCAAACACACTAAATGACATTTTTATCTGGAGGTCGACCTATGCTTCCTATTAAGTCCTCGTCAGAGCCGCAGGTCCACAGCAGGACGTGTTTCTGTCAGTAATCTGTGATCGTTTGATTATTTCCAGACACATTTCTGTCTTTATTTAACAACTGACGTGTCGCAGCTTTCTGAACATTTAATACATGAAGTGTTTCAGAGACGCCTCCAAAAACCTGCTGTGGTCCTCTCATAATGGTAATGCTGTTACCAGTTTGTACTGGGAGGTTTGACCAGTCATTTTTAAAACTTTATTAGGTTTATTAGCGGCAGCATGTGACAGCATCATATCATGTTCACTATCTCATGTTAACATGCTAACATTTACCTATTAGCACGTCCACAGAGCGTTTTTCTTAAGCAGAAAGGCACTGGGAAGCGTTTCATCCCAGACGTGCTCTGCGTGGGTTTGTTTCTATGACAACAATATCTTACAAAAGCTTACAAAGGGGAGCAGTGATAAAAGCACAACTCTACTCAGCAACATACAGCGATCGCTGATCGATCTGCTCCCAAACATGAGCTCTTCTGTCTTTGTAGTGACAGCCGCCGGCAATTCCATTAAGAGAATGAGAAAGTCCGTATTGGGTGGGAAGGGAGGTGGATGGCTTCTCTGCCTTTCCTAAGCCTATGCAGAAAGCCTCTTCTGGACACTTATATGGAAGACCTTAAGGTAGAGAGAGCAAACTTCTCTGCCTTTCCATGTGCCTAAATGGAAAGCCTAAGGGGCCGTACACATGCCATGTCTTTAACCGCCTGGAAAACACAAGGTTGGGTGCTGGGCACTACTTTTGTGCCTTTTTGTGACAGCTTTCAAGAGCGCAGCAGCAGGTTGGTAGGTGGTAGGTGTGTAGCCCTGCACTAACATGATCAACTTTTCCATACGTATCAGACTGAATATTGACAGAAGAAGGGAAAGATATCTGTTGGCTGTGATTGGTTGTTCCTCGTCACATGACATGCAGTGTATCTCAGGACACAGCCATCATGCCCTGAAAAATAGGGGCTTGGGAATGTGTGCATGTCGCAACAGTGTTGCTCTGGCATTTGTGCGCGCCTGCCGCATGTCCTCATTGAAAACAATAAATTTGAGTGTGAAAAAAATGCGTCATGTGTACAGTAGGCAGGGAGAGCTGCAGCAAAGACCCCCCAGGAACAGAACAGAGCAGCATCACTGACAAACAGAAATGACATTGATAAGTCAGACACAGCATGAAAAGGAGGAGCTGGGGTGGAGGCAGGTTGCAAAGCAGCTTGCAGAGGAAGCAGCAACAGTTGGCAGGCCAGAGCAGTTTAAACATCTCAGAGATAAATACTGTACTTTTTACTGTACTGTCTGATAACTTAAGATACTTCACAGATTCAGATTATTAATATACATTATTACTTTACTTTTGATATTTGAAGTACACTTTGATGATGATTTTACTGCAGTAAAGATTAGATAACATATTCTGTATTTCTATACAGTGGTACATTTACTGCAGTACAGATCAACATACTTGCTCTTGAGCTGCGTGTGTGAACGAGGAAACAGGAAACAGAATTCTCCTATAACCTGTGTTCTGTATTGATGAATAAAAAGTAAACAGAGCAGCTGATAGAAGATCAGTTTGTACACAGATAACAAGCGACCTTGTAACAACAACAGATCCCAAAGCAGTGACACAGTCAGATGTGAATGTTTGCAGTCAGCAGTTCAGTTGTTCCACTGAAACACATTTGGACTCAGCAGGAGAGACTCAGAGAGAGGTCAGTGAATCTCTGTCTCCCATCTGTGCTTCTCATTAACACACTTCATTATCAGAAGGGAAAACTTCTGTTTCCTGCTGCTGAATGTGATTCAGTGTTACCCAGTCAATGCTAAATGTGACCAAACGTCATCTAGTCAATGCTGAAAGTGACCCAACATCATCCAATTAATGCTAAATGTAACCCAACATCATCCAGTCAATGCTAAATCTGACCCAGCATAATCCAGTTAATGCTGAATGTGACCCAACTTTATGCAGTCAATGCTGAACGTGACCCAATGTTATCCAGTTAATGCTGAATGTGACCCAACTTTATCCAGTCAATGCTGAATGTGACCCAACTTTATCCAGTTAATGCTAAATGTGACCCAACTTTATCCAGTCAATGCTGAACGTGACCCAATGTTATCCAGTCAATGTTAAATGTGGCCCAATGTTATCCAGTCAATGCTGAATGTGGCCCAACGTCATCCATTCAATGCTGAATGTGACCTAATGTTATCCAATCAATGCTAAATGTGACCCAACATCATCCAGTCAATGCTGAATGTGACCCAGCATTATCCAGTCAATGCTGAATGTGACCCAAAATAATCCAGTCAATGCTGAATGTGACCCAACGTTATCCAGTCAATCCTGAATGTGACCCAACGTTATCCAGTCAATGCTAACTGTGACTCAACGTCATCAAATCAATGCTGAATGTGACCCAACATTATCCAGTCAATGCTGCATGTGACCCAACATCATCCAGTCAATGCTGAATGTGACCCAACATCATCCAGTCAATGCTGAATGTGACCCAACATTATCCAGTCAATGCTGACTGTGACCCAATGTTATCCAGTCAATGCTGAATGTGACCCAACATCATCCAGTCAATGCTGAATGTGACCCAAGATAATCCAGTCAATGCTGACTGTGACCCAATGTTATCCAGTCAATGCTGAATGTGACCCAACATCATCCAGTCAGCACAGTGTTAAGATTATGTCACCAATTCAGTATCCGACCAAATGTCTCCCCTTCCGTTCCTGAGATATGACACTGAGTAATGCCCAGAAAAGTATTTTTGTTTGATGATGTTTGACTTTCTGGATATAAAATGTCATCACTTCATCATTATATGCTGTTAAACATTTATGTGAAGTTTTGTCATACTTAGCGTATGAATTCTTGAGTTATGGCCAAAAATATGTTTTGTGAAGTCACAGTGACCTTTGACCAGAAACTTCTGATCAGTTTATTCTTCATTCCAAGTGGATGTTTGTGTCAAATTTAAAGAAATTCCCTTAAGGCCTTCTTGAGATATCATGTTCATGATAATGAGAAAGACGCAAGGTCACACTGACTTTGACCTTTGACCACTGAAGTCCAATAAGTTCATTTTTATGTCCAAGTGGAAATTTGAAGAAATTCCCTCAAGGCGTTCTTGAGATATCGCATTCACAAAAATGGGACAGACAAGGTCAGAGTGACCTTTACCTTTGACCTATGACCACCATAATGTAATCAGTTCATCATTCCATGTCCAAGTGGACATATGTGCCAAACTTGAAGAAATTCCCTTGAGTTGTTCTTGAGATGTTACATTCACAAGAATGATGCTAATGCAAGGTCACAGTGACCTTTGACCACTGAAATTCAATCAGTTCATTGTTGAGTCCAAGTGGACATTTGTGCCAAACTTAAAGAAATTCCCTTGAGGTGTTTTTAAGGTATCGTGTTCACAAGCATGGGACGGACAGATGGATGGACAACCCAAAAACATAATGGGCTCTAGTTTCCCGGTGCAGCGCAGGGTGGTGCAGGGTGGCGAAACCCGCGCAGAGCTAGTTTCGAGCAGCGCAACCCAAGGCGCGCTCAGTTTGGTAGTTTGGCAGACGAGGTGCGCCGAGATGGGTGTGGCGGCGCAGCAGGGGGAGGTGTCGACAGATCCAGCTTGGCACAGTGACAGTTTCATGCCAAAAGGCTTCGCCGAAGGTGCGCTAAAAGCTCGCCAGCTGAAACCAGGTCTATTTTCAGCGCAGGGGGAGCGCAGCCGGTGTAAGCCGAAGTTTGGCTGACCAGTGGACAGTGCGCACACGTTACCAAAACCTCACAGGCAGGTTTCCAGAATATCAGGTACATTAACAATGCAATAAATACCTCACAAAAAACACTACTCAATGCAACTATCTGCAATCAGCACATAAATGTATCTCTATATCAACTGTCCCGTCACATCTGATGTCAGATCAAAGGGGATTGGCACCGTTCACGTTTGGCACGTGTAATGGAAACCCAACCTGATTTGATTAACAAAACTGAGTTCACATCCCTCTCAGCCAACCACAAACAGCCACAGCATCAGATAGGGAGTATATATTCAGCATCTGTCATCTTAGAAAAGCCAAAAGAAAAGAAACAGAGTGAGACTGCGAGAGAGAAAGAGAGAGCGCACGCGCACGAGAGAAACGCAACATTGATTTACAATTGTGGTGACCTCCTCCCAGGCTACCTTTGCATCATCAGCCCGTGGAGGTCTGCTGGCAGTTCCATATATTCGGACACTGCGAGCTTGGACCTCCCGGACCAAAACATCAGTTTCCTCCTGGGAGGAGGAGTTTGGCCGTCTGACGCTGCTGCTCTCTTCTGCCATGGCGAATTGAGTAAACTCTCATTACGCCTTCGCGCGGCGCATTTAAGAGCGAGGAGAGGGGCTCATTTGATTGTTGTGATGTGTGTAAAACCCACTTCCCGCCTTCTCTCCTCCCTCTTTTCGACTTGCGCTGGTAGGAGGGACGGAGGTGGGACAGAGGAGTAGCTGCACCAGGTCGCACTATGTGCCAAACTTACAAAATCCGCCTGGCCACACCCAGTTGGCGAAGCGCAGGTGCGCTGCGCCTCCGCTGCGCCCGGTCTGCGAAACTAAAGCCCATTGCCTCCGGCCACAGCTATCACCGGCGCGGAAGCATAAAAAAACCCTTCTGTGTTCATTCTGTTAAGGGTCATTGTAACTGATAATAACATTAAACTCGTGTTATATTGTGTACCCTGACATTTTCTGAGGCTGTAACAATGTCATGCTGTTATAACTCCAGTGTGGACATGTCCAACGGAGCTAGAAACAATGACAATGATGATAAAAGTTTGACTTGGAAATCTGAACTCCTCATTCTCTTTTGGGTTGATTTTTGATTTGAATTTTTTAATTTTCTGTTACTTACCTGTCAGTCTGTTCTCATACACTGATTACAGCAGCAGATTTAAAGTCAGAAATCAGTCATTTATGAAACAGTTGTTTGTTTCAGGCAAACGTACAGAAAAGGAGCTTTTCATTTTGAGCCGATTACTGTTGATATCACTGAAATAAAAGTTTTTATCTGCTGTAGCTACTTAAGCTAACGTTAGCTGGTTGAAACATCATGTACAGCTGATGTTTCAATCTTTCAAGTTAAGGAAAAACCCATCCCACAAACACATTCACAGTCTCAACATCATCCTGACTGATACCAACAAACAGATGTTGATGTGAAGCAGCTCCTCCTGTTAGTCTCCGGGTAAGCTAACGTTACGTTAGCTTGACAGCTACAGTGCAGAGCTGACACAGAGGATTATTAAAGGAGCTCAATCCAACAAAACATTGTTTGCCAGTTTATGACATTATCTAATTTGAATATAATGAGTACACCACTAATGTCATATATTCAGAAACTGAGCTGTCTGTTTAAATGAATTGAATGTGGAAACAAGATTAGTTTGTCATTAAGTTTCACGTTTTATTTGACGAAGAACACAAATAAAGGCCTCTAGTTAATGTAAAATAATTACAATTTAAATCACAAATACAAAACTGATCAGAAACATCACAGTTAAGCACATGTTCTTCACCAGAAAAGAAACTCCTGCAACGTATTAACACAGAACATCAAGCTGAGACAGAAACCATCATCACGTCTCCCCACAGGCTTCATATCTTATTCAAATCTTTACTTTTCTGCCCACAGGAAAGGAAATTAGATCAACTAGGTTTTGAAACATAAACTGAAGCAACTTTTAAAGATCAGAGGAGATCAAGTCCAACATCAAGAGGCTGAAAGTTTGAATTAGTAAAACTTTAAATGGTGTATTTAAGGTGTTTAAGTTCCCAGCATGCACCAGAGTTCATGTACAGGTCTATTTATCAGAGGAGAAGATTCCTTCTCGTCAGTCGACCGTTTCACAAACATCCTTTAAACCCTGCTCACTGTTTCCCACATATATCCAGTACAGTCCCAGTTCAACCAGCATTCACCAGGTACAGTCCCAGTTCATTCACCAAGTACAGTCCCAGTTCAACCAGCATTCACCAGGTACAGTCCCAGTTCAACCAGCATATATCCAGTACAGTCCAAGTTGACCCTAATTCATCCAGTACAGTCCCAGTTTAATCAATGTTCACCCAGTCCAGTCCCAGTTCATTTACCCAGTCCAGTCCCAGTTCATTTACCCAGTCCAGTCCTTTCATTAACCCAGTACAGTCCTTTCATTAACCCAGTACAGTCCCAGTTCAGTTAATCCAGTACAGTCCCAGTCCATTAGCCCAGTACAGTCCCAGTCCATTAACCCAGTACAGTTCCTGTTCAACCACCATTCACCCAGTGCAGTCCCAGTTCAATTAACCCAGTACAGTCCCAATTCATTACCCCAGTACTGTCCCAGTTTAACCAGTGTTCACCCAGTCCAGCCCCAGTTCATTAAACCAGCACAGTCCCAGTTCAGTTCATCCAGTACAGTCCCAGTTCAACCAGCATTAACCCAGTACACAGTCTGGGTAAACTGACCCTGGTACACAGGGTCTGGTACACAGGTGATGGTCTGAGCACAGTTATTGATCAGTATTGATCAGTTATCAGATGAATTCATGTTGATATTTAATATGATTTAACTGATTGTTTTAAAAAACAAACATTAAAATAAATAATATTTGAGGTTTAATAAGATCAGAATAATATTTTTTAATCAAACATAAATGACGTGTATTGACGGATCGATATCAAACCGATCGATCAGCCTGATCAGCCGTTGGTTTGTTTTGTTTGTGTCGGTGAGGCGGGTGAACCGGCGCGAGCCGCGTGCAGCACCGTTAAAGCGCTGACTCCGCCCACCTGAGAGTTCGGGTGCGTTTGTTTTTAAAAGACGAGAAAAGGGAGCGTTTCTAAAAACGAGAATATAAAACAGATTTAAACATGAAGCTGAGGAGACAGACTCACCTCCTCTGGTGCTCCTGTGGGTCTCCTGTGGGTCTCCTTCCTCACGGACTCACTGAGGAGGTTCTGTGTCCAACAGCGGAGTTTTCTTCACCTGAATAATCACTGCATTCATCACCGGGACGCTCCTCCTCCTCTTCCTCCTGCTGGTTTCTAGTTTAACCTCTCCTCCTCCTCCTCCTCCTCCTCCTCCTCAGTGTGTTTGTGCTGCTTCGGTGGAAACAGTGTGAAAACACCGAGCTGGTGCAGGAGGAGGACAGGGGCGAACCAACTAATCCTGGGCCCCTGAGGCCCCCTGAGGCCCCCCACCACCCCCTGATCCTGGTAGTAACCAGCAGAGCAGATTTTAGCATCTGAAGCACAGATGTATAATAGCAACAGGATACTGACACCAAGATGGTGCCGGTTCAGTCCAGTAGAACTGTGAAGCCCAACACACCCCAAAAAGTTTGTAGCGTCCAGGTTTAAGTTGCATTGTGTTTAGCTTGTAATGACATCACACTTGAATTAAGAACTAAGTTGTTAAATTTTATTAATGTGGCAGGTAGCTAGTTAGCTAGCTAATACAGAGCTAGTTAGCTAGCTTGCTAATCCAACCATGCTATCAGTTATATTGGATCATCAGATATTTGGTATGGGTTCTTGGCCAAATAAGTTGATATAAATATCGGCATATCAATTATCCACAAAAAATCTAATATTGTGCATCTCTAGCTAATTCCACCATGTTTTCATGCAACTTTCATACAGACACAGCTGTAGCTCAGACAAACCAATAAGGTGGTCCTCTCTGTCCTCCTCGCCCCTGTCTAGTTAGCTAGCTAGCTTGCTAATTCCACCATGTTTTAATGCTAACTTTACAGTAGTTACAGAAAATGAGTCAAACAACATCATCACTCAGCAGATGATAGCAATGTGCTGTCCTACTCTGTCACAAAAGAGTGTGGATGAAGAATTAAGTTGTTAAATTTTATTCATGTAGCAGCTAGCTAGCTTTCTAATTCTGCCATTCTATCATGCTACATTTGTTACAGAAAATAAAATCAGCTACCATAACACTAGCTGTTTGTAGCTACGCATCAACCGTTAGCTGCACACAGCTTACATAATGGGTTTAATATATCAAAGAGTTTTATCTTTGTCAGTAATGTTTTATTGCTTTGGCGTAACTTGCCTGGAATGCTATGAAGTCATGAGTTGTGACTTGAAGTGGTTACTTACAGGCTCAGAAACTATCCATCTCATCTGACCATTAATAACCACAAAAAGTTGGTATATTTCTTAACTGTAGTACCTCATAGTTGCTTGTTAGCCAGCAAGCTAATGTGTCAGGTAGAGACTATTAATGCAGGGATGACGTTTTTCTGTAGTCCGACCCTGATGTTAGCATCTCTTTGGTGCATTTACTGACAGCATTTTTACAGCAAGATAATCTTCACTAATGAACACCACTTTTTGATCTCTGAAGGAGGGTAAATTCAATCACCAGAATTAAAATGCTAAGGTGAGGCTATAAACAAACTACACGGCCACATGACTTCATCCTCGCCACCATGAGGCTGTATAGCTGTGTTTGGTGTGATGACGTTCTGTAGTCTCATTTAGCCACTTGTTAGCAAACATCTCTCTTTTTTTGGGGTTTTACTGAATGCGTTCACATCATCAGAGCACTTATTGAAAGTAACAACCTTCTTTTTGAAGACAGTTGGAATACTACAGTTTGTTTACTGATGGAGGTCATTTAAAAATACTTTTGGATCATATTGAAAATGACATGTTTAAACTTCAAATGTGTTTGTTGCTGGGTTATGATTCAGGCAGACAGATGGAAGGCGTAAATACAGAGGGGTGGAGTAAATACAGATGGGTGTATGAGCTCAGTGTCTCCAGCAGATGGTGCACACAGACAGAAGGATGGAGGACAGCAGCGGGTCAAACCTCTGGTTTGATCCTGGGTCTGCACCCTGTCTCCATGGAGATGATAGACGACTCAGTGAAACATGTCTGATGGATCAATAACACATAGTTTTTACCAGAGTGAAAGTAGTAATACTACAGTGTAGGAGTACTCTAATGTCCTGCAGTTAAAATCTTACTGATCATTAAAATATACTGTAAGTACCAAAGGTAAAAGTACTCATTCAGTAGAGTAATCTTTAGGATATTATTGATGCATTAATGTGTTGATCAGTTTAATGTTGCAGCTCATTTTAATTACTTTATAATCTATAGTAACACATCATCTTTTATTATTGATTATATTTTGTATCAATAATCTGGATTTGTAAAGTTAAAGCTGTCAGATAAATAAAGTGCAGCAACCTCTGAGATTTAGTGGAGAAGAAAAAATAAAAATATTTAAGTACCCTAAAATTGTACAATGGTATAATACTTGAGTAAAAGTACTCAGCTACTGTCTCTGTCAGTCTGGGTGGAGAGGAAGGCTGTCATCAAGGCTCCTAGACAGGGGAGAGGAAGTGGAGCACATGTGCCTTCAAAATAAAAGAGCAGAGTTTGATTTCATTAGAGATCATATCGTTAACTGTCTGTGATCAGACCCCCTCCTTAATGAGACTATCATGTATCATTAACACGTTTAATAAAACTAATTAAACAAACCAGGACTCCTGGAAGTTCCTGGACAGATTCTAGGACCAAACAACTCAATGTAAAAATAAAATAAAACTATTATTATTATTGATAATAATATTCAGTCTAATATTGACTCCAAAAAACAAGATGGTGACTGAAATGTTGAGCTTGTAGCTTAAGAATGTGAGGAACAAATTGATGGGTGACGTCACGGTAACCACGTCCTTTATTTTATACAGTCAGTGGTCAAAATCAGGCCCCCAGGAAGTGTGTCAGGCTCTGATGCCTGTTTTTATAGTGGCCAAACAGTGGAATTACACCGTCACGTGATGCCATGGGGCCCACAAAGACTTTCTCTCATTGACTTATGTCGGGAAAGAAACGCCTGAGCGTTACAAACCCCACAAAATGACTCGTTTCACTATCAGGATTTGATCCATTTAGTCCGATAACATTTGGAAAGTCTGGAAGAGCCACAAGATTAAATCATTTTATCCCCATTCAAGTTAGTGGAGCGCTAACAGGAAGTTAGCAGCTCGGCTGGCAGAAGTCTCTAGGGTGCCTGCTCTATGGACTCAATGAAGCAGAAGCCCCGCATCAGTGGGCCCAACACTGTATCCTGAGGCCTGTACTATGAAGCAGTATTTGGGGTTAGTGAGGTAACTTAAGGGTTAACTCTGGGTTTTCAGTACTATGAAGCTGGTTCTCTTTTTACCAGGATAAATCACCGTGGTAACTGATGCTGATCAGTTAACCAGCTCTGGAGCAGCTTAACTGATCAGAGTATCAGATCCCAGCCTGTCAACACCCCGACCTCTGACCAATCAGATCACTGAAGAAAAAAGTATCCGTGGACAAAAATCTGGAGTCTCAGGTAAAAAAGAGGAGCCTGTATATTGTTATAGGTCAGTAAAATCATTTCCTTGTTCCAGGGCTCTGTTTCCACTGGGTTTAAAACAGAGCTTCTAACAAACACAGAGATCGTTTACAACATTAACCCTTTAAATCTGAGCAAATTGGCTGGATTTCTTTTAAATACATGTTTGGAAGAATAGCAATCAACAATGAAAGAGGTAATGACCCAAAAAAATTAGCAAGAAATTAGTAAAAAGAGAAAATTTAAGACAAGAAATAAAGTTAAAAAACAAACAAACAAACAAACAAGGAAATGACCTGGAAAGAGTGCTTAAAAATTCTAAAAAAGTATTTCCTGTTGAATTTACAAACAGTCCAGTTTGTGTCAGAGTGCGCTCCGACACTCAGAATGAGTATTTCTGAACGCACTACTCTCATCATATCTTCCTCCATTGTCCAGAACATTGTCTAGAACACGCAAACAGAACTTGTTAGCTAGCGCTAGCAAATGTCTGTGGAGATTTTTTTTGCATCCAGCTAAGCCCCGCCCACCAAAAAACATCATACTGTTTACCAACAGTAAAAGGGTCTATACCAAGCAGCAACCTCCTGGGATGACGAGTGAAGCCAATGCGGAAGTGCCAAAAACTTGAGGCAGGCTCCAAAAGCCCAGTTAAATGTTAAAATGCTCAACTTTACAGCAGAAATAAACATGTTTACAGCCTGGTACAAAAAAACGGTTTTGGTCTCTATAGCTAATTTTCCCTTTCATGACAACTGTACGGGGGGTGATTTTTTTTTTTTTATAACTCATCCGTTTAAATTTTATTAAGGCTTAAGTTGCGCATAGCTAAGGGCATGGTCACTTTGGGTAACAGGTGGTGCCATCATGGGTGGCTTATTGGCGCTGGCTGTCTGCTAGGCGTCATCTCAGCTAATTCACAAATCATTGAACCTGACCTCTCAGCTGTGTTTGTGCCTTTTGGATATTTGTTTCGTGAGGGAGCTGGCACCAAGCGGTAGCAGTCAACACCACAGGGCTAGCCAAAGTAGTGTAGCTTGTTAGCCTTATCTTATCTTGCTTCATTTGGCCCACCTCTTTGCCCATTTTTGATTGGCCGGGAGTTGGGCGGAGTCAGGCACTGCCAAGATGGCGAAGGCCAGAGCCGCCTACTTTGAGCTTCAAACCTACTCCTCCCGTCTATGGTCTATACACCCACTGTCAAAACAGACATGCTTGCATTACATCACCAACTAGCAGGTGTGTTTATTGGTCCAGTGTGGCGCAGTGCATTCTGGTAGTTGTAGGTTTTGGACCTCTTGTAATGACCAGCAGTGAAATCCTTCTTTAATATCTGTATGTTTTATGATAACATTATCTATTGTCACTTACAAACTGACTTTGTACACCACCCCCTGTATACTCTATCGGAATTATCTTTTGTTAAAAATAGCTAGATTCCGGGGCTCTTATTCTGACAGTATCCTCCGGAAGTTCAGTGTGCGGTGGTCTCGTGCCTCTGACGGACACTGTGGTGCAGACAAACCGAGCGCACCTACGTTTCTGCGGATTTTCTCATCCTGCTGAGGAGGAACCTGCAGCTGGATCCGGATCCATCCTGAAGAGGACAGTCCAGACCGAACCGAGCCGAGCCGCGCCGAGCTGAGCTGAGCCGAACTGAACCGGG